TTTAAGAAACAAATCATTCTATTATCCCAATATAGAAAAATGAAAAAAAATTAAAAATAAAAATATTCTGAAGGAATTATTCATAATGATACTTTAATTTGATTAGTCAATAGGAAACAAATATTAAGTTAAGCATTTATAACTTGAAACATTTTTTTAATAATTATATAACTATTAACTCCTTATTTATTTTTACCCTAGGGAAAAATCAACTTAAACAAAATATAATTCAATTGTAAATTGGCGTAACATTTCATAAAATGAAAGCGTATTTAATAAAATCCTACTCTATATAACTATACTAAAGATCACTTTTTTATTCAAGAAGAATCTTATATTTGTAAACATCCAAATTACAAGATATGATAAGTGGAAAAATAAAGTAATATAATACAACATATCATGATTTAAAAAAAGAAAAAAAAATATTATAATTAAGGAAATATTTGATAAAATCTTTTAATTAATTAAGTATAAAGGAAGGATAGGATAAGGATATAGTTTTTATTAGCAGATATTAGGAATGGAAAATATATTTTAATATTTAATAACTAATATCCATTAATTAATTTAAGAAACAAATCATTCTATTATCCCAATATAGAAAAATGAAAAAAAATTAAAAATAAAAATATTCTGAAGGAATTATTCATAATGATACTTTAATTTGATTAGTCAATAGGAAACAAATATTAAGTTAAGCATTTATAACTTGAAACATTTTTTTAATAATTATATAACTATTAACTCCTTATTTATTTTTACCCTAGGGAAAAATCAACTTAAACAAAATATAATTCAATTGTAAATTGGCGTAACATTTCATAAAATGAAAGCGTATTTAATAAAATCCTACTCTATATAACTATACTAAAGATCACTTTTTTATTCAAGAAGAATCTTATATTTGTAAACATCCAAATTACAAGATATGATAAGTGGAAAAATAAAGTAATATAATACAACATATCATGATTTAAAAAAAGAAAAAAAAATATTATAATTAAGGAAATATTTGATAAAATCTTTTAATTAATTAAGTATAAAGGAAGGATAGGATAAGGATATAGTTTTTATTAGCAGATATTAGGAATGGAAAATATATTTTAATATTTAATAACTAATATCCATTAATTAATTTAAGAAACAAATCATTCTATTATCCCAATATAGAAAAATGAAAAAAAATTAAAAATAAAAATATTCTGAAGGAATTATTCATAATGATACTTTAATTTGATTAGTCAATAGGAAACAAATATTAAGTTAAGCATTTATAACTTGAAACATTTTTTTAATAATTATATAACTATTAACTCCTTATTTATTTTTACCCTAGGGAAAAATCAACTTAAACAAAATATAATTCAATTGTAAATTGGCGTAACATTTCATAAAATGAAAGCGTATTTAATAAAATCCTACTCTATATAACTATACTAAAGATCACTTTTTTATTCAAGAAGAATCTTATATTTGTAAACATCCAAATTACAAGATATGATAAGTGGAAAAATAAAGTAATATAATACAACATATCATGATTTAAAAAAAGAAAAAAAAATATTATAATTAAGGAAATATTTGATAAAATCTTTTAATTAATTAAGTATAAAGGAAGGATAGGATAAGGATATAGTTTTTATTAGCAGATATTAGGAATGGAAAATATATTTTAATATTTAATAACTAATATCCATTAATTAATTTAAGAAACAAATCATTCTATTATCCCAATATAGAAAAATGAAAAAAAATTAAAAATAAAAATATTCTGAAGGAATTATTCATAATGATACTTTAATTTGATTAGTCAATAGGAAACAAATATTAAGTTAAGCATTTATAACTTGAAACATTTTTTTAATAATTATATAACTATTAACTCCTTATTTATTTTTACCCTAGGGAAAAATCAACTTAAACAAAATATAATTCAATTGTAAATTGGCGTAACATTTCATAAAATGAAAGCGTATTTAATAAAATCCTACTCTATATAACTATACTAAAGATCACTTTTTTATTCAAGAAGAATCTTATATTTGTAAACATCCAAATTACAAGATATGATAAGTGGAAAAATAAAGTAATATAATACAACATATCATGATTTAAAAAAAGAAAAAAAAATATTATAATTAAGGAAATATTTGATAAAATCTTTTAATTAATTAAGTATAAAGGAAGGATAGGATAAGGATATAGTTTTTATTAGCAGATATTAGGAATGGAAAATATATTTTAAAATTTATTGGTAACCAATTATATTAAATGCAAATATTCTACTGAAAATATCTTATTATGATTTGATAATGTCCAATTTATCCCTTGTATTTTATTAGAATATTCTAGATTTAGGGTTTATTGTTCACAAACCCAAACTCTAGTATATGTGTATATATAAATCTCATTACATGGAATAAAGTATAGCACACTTATTCACCCTTATAATCCATCCTCTTTTATGAGAAGAGTTTTTAGTTTCACCTCACCTATATATTAAATTACTCTTCCCATACAATAATTTTCCTCACTTTAATTAAAATTACTTCTCATATCTCTCTCTTTCCATCATCCCATTGTTGTCGCCATTCGTCTCCTTTTGGTAAGCTCGCATCTCTTAAGAACCTCTTTTTTTTTTTTTAATGTTAATTAATATTGATAAATTTTTAATCTTTCAACATTATTGTTAAGCAATGATTATTAATCATAATTATTACTATATTTTTTGCGTAAGGTATTGATTTTTAGGGTTAGTATACTTGGAATTTAAGATCTACATGGGGCTTAAAGGATTTAAGTAGTAACTAAAGGTATTTTTGTATTGTGACGAGGATCGCCTTGAATAATACAGAGTAGTTCATCAATTTATCCAATAACTAATATAAAGCAGGTGTAAATTGTGAAAAATTTATCTTAGTTAATATTTGGGGAAAACATTTTTATAATTTGATTTTTGTTTTGTGAAGATGAGAGGAAAGATAATGTTTAGACAAAAAAAAAATTTATACCAAAAGATAAGTTAGACGTGTTATACATAATTTATCAATTCTTTATAATCAAATTAATTTTTTACCTAGAAAATCAAAAAAATTATATATAAATCTCGAAAAACAATTTTTTTTTCACCATTATTTTATTACTTTTTTTAATAGTAAAACAAATTTATTAATAAAAAGTCTTACAAAATTTACAACGATAATCGAATTTAACAAATACATAATTTGAATCAAATAAAAATTTCCTTTATAAAAAACTACGATCGTTAAACATATCTTGCAATGTGGAACATATTCCGCTTATATCATTGGAAAATACAAGGTTGTTGGAGAGACAATCAAACGATTCCTTAGATATTACTTATGTGACTCTAAGTTTTTAAATTTGTTTAATATTCTATTATCTTATTAATCGATTATTTCTTGATTTTTTTAAATTATAAAATCATTAATATCTTTAATAATATTTTATAAAAAATATCTTTAATTATCTCTTTGTAAAAAAGGTTTAAAATTTTTCTTATATAAATTGCAAAGCATATATCATGACTGATATGAATATCTCACATGACAATATTTACTTTAGGAGGTGAATGGTGTAAAATTACAACTTTGCTATTAATATCAAATGACCGAAATATAACATTATTCTTAAATTTGGGACATGTAAAATTTATGATGGGGATTCACGACAAAAAAAAAGAATTTTTGAGAACTAAGTTTTTTTTTTAATTTTAATTTGTTTTTATTTTTAACAAAAGTAAAAATTACATAAAATATCATGACTTCGGTGAGAAGGGCCTCTAGTACAATGAGGCGACAAAACTTGGCATTTCATGCTTCTTTTCTCATTCCTACAAGCTCTAATTAGAATATCGTATGATAAGAACATACTTCTCAGACTGATACTCCCGAATTGGTAGTTTAAGAAAGTGTAACAGTAAATAAAGCCGGAAAGCAGGAATGTCCCAAAAGCGTCTTCATCCTTTCTTTTAAACGCTAGCAAAGATGTGCTGTTATATGCACTAATCTATATTCAACACACCATGATTGTTTTTAGGAAAATGTGTGTTTTACCACCCCTAAAAACACCGCTTTTTTTTTTTATTATTTTTTATTTTATTTGTCCACCTTTTTTAAAAAAAATTAAAAATTAAAAATTAAAAAAAAAGTACCGTTTGTCTGAGTCTGACAATTTTTTTTTTTTTGACTTGGGGCCACATGACGGCTAATTTGCTCCTTTTATAAATATGTCCCATCGATTTTTTTGTCCTCCCCTCATTTTATAAAGCAACGTTCTTCCAAATTCTCCAAAAAATTGCAACAATTCAACAAAATAGTTAGGCATTTGTAGAACAACCTTTTTTTTTTTCATTTCATGCCCAAATCACATTGTACAATTATTATGTTAATTGTTATTTAATATGTAGTGAATTTATTGTTCATTTAATGCTTAAATTGTTGTATGAGGTAATTTGAGTGGTAGGGAAATTAGAGTTCATGTAAATGAAATTGAAAATATCTTAAAGTTGAACAAAAGTTGCAACTTAATCATATCTGTTAGATTTTTATATGAATGGTTAATCATTATTTGATTGACAATGTTAGGGCTCCTTCTCTCTTATACCCCCTTCGTCAAGCTAGCTTTTTTTCCCTGTTTTTTTCTCTCTTATCGATCTCTCTCCTTTACTATCTCTTGCACTTTTAATATTTCCGTCAAGGATTTCTTTTGTTCTCTAAATTAAATTGGTTGTTTTTAATTTCCAAAGTCTATAACATTATTTTGCTGCTGATTATTATGGATCTACTAATGTAATCATCTGGGTATTTGTGCAAAATTAAAGATATACTTACTTGCACATAATGCATACATCAATGGTTGAAATTTGTATTAATTTGTGAGAATATCTAGATTTTAAGACCTGGATTTTTAAATGTTGAAAAATCAAAATTGAAGTTAAGATGAGAGAGGAAGCAAAGAGAGATAAGTTCAATGAATTGACACCCTAATAATTAAGTTCTATGTAAGGGAGGTTAAACGAATTGACAAGGAGATTAAGAGGTTAAACGAAAGAATTTAGTGAAAAAGGTTAAAGTAGAGATACATTAATATAATAGGAAAAATCATGGAAATAGAGGAGAGAAGGTGGGCCCTAAGTTGGAAAAATGTTTAGATGGATGTTGAAATATACGTAGTAAGAATTTTTATTTTTTTTATTTTTTATTTTTTTATTTTTTTTGTTGATCGGACATAGTAAGAGTTAAAGGAGCCTATTTTTTATTTATTACTTCGTATTATTTTTTAGTTTTTTTTCACCTTTGGGTATTTAACTCGTTTTTCAAATAACCATATACGCTTAACAATTAACCTTAACTGGGGGAAGCTCCCCATTTTCAGCTTGTAATTTACTTATCAGTGAAGCAAAACTGAAAATGAAAATAAATTCTGACTGTTAATATTATTGTACCAAATTCGGAGTATGTGCCATTTGGCATTAACTTAATATACGTGTCATCAATTTTTATTTATTTTCTGTTTTGTAATGTAAGCTTTCGACTTTAACGTTGCAGTCCTTTCTGTCGATCTCTCTCTCCTCCATTGAAGCAGCTTCCGAGCTTTCTCTTCATCGAAACAGCTTCTGAGGTAAAAAAAATAATTCTCTTTTTGTTCATTGAATCCCAATTTCTCAATCTAGGATTTAGTTTCAACCTAATTTTACTGTCAATTTAGGGTTCTTCTAAGGTGGACTATTGATTATAATTACTCAAGTTGTGAACGATTATAAACTGTGATTTTGTTGCTATTCATGTGCAATTATGTTGATATTCTCAATGTAGAAGAGTTTTATGTGATTTATTTACCCTAATTTGATAATTGAGTCACATTTGATTGCTAATGTAAAATGTTTTACGAAGTATTAATTTCCTTGATTTACAATCATCTCGTCAAAACAGATTTTCTATCATTTTATTTAATAAGTGAACATTATTGTAAATGATAGTATTTACTCAATATTAAAACAATGCGAGTTATGTGCTAGGATTTTGAAGATGAATAATAAATGACTGATTTGAATGGTTTAATGGGTGTTTTTTTTTGTTTTTTTTTGTTTTGGTATTTGCATCCCCATTGGTTTATGATTTTAAGTTTGATCTTTTAAGTAAAACTAAGCGCTGAATTTAAGTATCTGACACGGGTTCATGTCCAAATGTCTAACTCGACTATGACTATTTTGTAAAACCTTTCCATGATCTTGAACTAAAATGAAGTGTCTAAGTGTCCTATTCACGTCCGATTTTCGAGAGTCTGACACAATGCTTGAGGTGTAATGAAGAGTCCAAGTAATATAGTATACTGATTTAGGCTCCTATTGGTTGAACTGAGAATATCATTCATCGATTTTATTATGATATGGAATTGAATGAGAAAGTGAGCAAAGATAATTTTTTTCTTTACTCTGATAAATCCTCTTTAAGTCACTTGTCCCTGTCATTTTAACAGGGTTATGTACTTTGTCTCTCACCATACACTTTCATATTTAAGTTGTGCTCCTGTGAATATATTATTTGATGCTTTAAAATTAACTTAGATTCTTGTAGAATTAGGTAAAGTATCAATCACAGTATCAAGATGACTTGTGAAAAAGAAGATGCCTCGGGACATGGAGAGGAGTTGATGGATGTTGATATTGCTGACGCTAGCAATGGGTGTATGACTGAGATAAGGGAAAATGGTTTGCTTCTTTGGCCGGTATTGCCACAGGAAGGCGGAGAGGGTCTTCCATATGCCCCTGTAAACTGGCCAAGCCCTGGTGATATATGGGGTTGGAGGGTTGGCAAAAGAGTAGCTGCTTCTGGATATTATCTTGACAGATACTTGTATCTTCCTTTGCGTTTCCAGAAATCTAGGCGCAAGAGGGATGGTTTCGCAAGCAAGCTTTCAGTCGAACAATATGTTCGAGCAAGGTTCCCTGGTTCTAATGTCAATGCTTTCTTTTCGTCTTTTAGTTGGAAGATTCCTTCAAATCAGGCATACTTGTTGAAAGGTCAGCATTTTATCTCAGTAAATGAGCACTTGGAATTGGTATTAATATTCTTTTAGCCAATCACATATATGTTCTTTTACCTAGATGTGTACCATTTTTTGTTATATGCTCCTTTTCTACGGTTCTCTTAGGGTTTAATTTTTAACCTATTTCTTTGGTGAGCATGCAAATAATAATTTCAGATTATTGCTACTTGGTTTCGGTAGCAGATACTAGGTGGTCATTTGGTTGAATGTAGGAAGTAGTAAAAGTGTGTGTCCAAGTATTTCCATTTCTTAGCAAGTGCCAAAACTGTTTGGTTGATCATGGGAAGTAAATAGGAACTTCCACTTACCTAAGGGGTGTCTAGGGGAACAAGTTCCTGTACTTTGTGGTATACTGAACTTCTAGCGCACTTCCTATATTTTTTGTCAACCAAACTTCCCAAGCTTTCCACTTCTCAGACCTTTTTATGTCAATCAAACAAGCAGTAAGTCGATCTTCATCCAAGGATGTTGTGTACTAAATGCTAGCTTGATAGGATTCATCTATGCTGTCTTTGGTGGTACAATTTTACTCATCGTCTCATTAATATAACTTAGTATGGCTGATGTGATGAAAGCATTAGTTCTTGTTATTATATACTCCCTAGTAGAGTTTTTGAAAAGAAATTATAAGAAGAGACTTGTTTGAGTTTTTTTTTATTGTTATACTTGCTTTTTAAGCAATTATTTGTTTATTGAGTATTTGAGTTACTCTTTAGAATCTTAAACAATTAATTCCTCCGTTCCCCTAATATTGCAACAAGGGGAAGACACGGAATTTAAGATGAGAGATAGAGAGAAATAAAGATAAGGACCCATGTGATGAGGAGAGAGGTAGAGAGAAAGCATGTGCATATATGGTAATGTTGCCGGTGTTTATTTATTGAAGTCCAAAAAGGGTATTTTAAAACTTACAAGCTTCTTTTAAAATGTAAATTTGATCATATACTACCACTTTTTGATGAAGTGGTGAAAAATTCCTAGGTCTACTGTTAGAAACAATTATCTCCCTTGATGCCTAATTATATTTTTAACTATATGCAACACCTACTGATTTTGTGTTGTTGATATCAGTATTTCAACTATGTTCCATTTTAATAATGTCGAAAGAGTACAATAGGCTGTATTAAATGTCTTACTATCCCTACTTTATACGAGTACTACTTATCTATTGTGAAGTAGGCTATGTCTTTATCTTTGTGGAAGTAGTCAGACGGCTCTGACCCCCTCTATTGCATTCTAGTTTGAATCCTATTAGTATTGCTACGGAAATCTGACGGGTAATTGTAAATTTGTACTAGTCCGATTGTAAGCCCTGAGTTGGAAGTTGGAACACATCCGTGTGAACACGGTCCCCATAATTTTAGAAATACTTGGCAATTAATTTAAAGGAGAGAGACTATAAGTCTATAATATCTGGAATAAAATTAAATGAGTTCAAATAATTTAGATTGGTTAAAGATCAAATAAATTCAGATAAGAAATTAAGTTCTTATACGATGTGAGAAGCTATATTCCTTAATTAGTTGTTCCATTTTGGCTTCCGACACTATTCACCTGCTTCACTTTGGCCATCATTTGCTAATTATACATAATGTAAAACATAGCTATGTTGGCTCTTGTTAAATTCGTATTAATATATATATTTTCAATATATATAATTTTTATGATCACACAATCAAAGATATTAAAGGTCAAAGTTGTGTGTGTGTGTAATTGTGCCAAGTCAAAATGGAACAGCCAAAAAAAAAGTGGATGTTATAAGCTACTACGTAATTCACAACTACAATGGATTCCAATAAATCCTGAATTGTCAAAATAAGCTCTAATTGAATTCAGAAAGTTAAAATTAGTTCTTCCCATTCAAAAAGGAGTTTAGCTAAGTCTAAATAAGTCAAATAAGCTCATGTAAGTCTAAATAAGTCAAAATAAGTTGAATAGAACATACCCCTATCTTTTAAGGTGTGTTTTGTTCAACTTATGTTGGCTTATTTGAACTTATCAGGACTTGTTTTGTCTACTTATTTGAATAATTCAGTTCGAACTTTTTTTGAATTGAACCGAGTAGCATTTTAAACGTTTCAGAACTTATTTTGCCTTGAGTTCTGTAGGCTGCTCTGTATTGCCATGCTATTACTTGCCAAATATATATATTTATATATATATATATATATATATATATATATATATATATATATATATATATATATATATATTCTTACAATTTGCTTTGAAGTTTCATTATTTAAGACATTCTTGGTTTGAATAAGTGGATACCCTATAAAGAAAATTGGACAGTTGATCAAATGTGTTGGAGAGGAGTGTTGATGATGTTTCAAAACTCAAAATCTTCAATTGTGTTCTGTCTTTTGCACTGATCTTTCAGTGCTATCATGTTAAGCTTGATTCAGTCATCAATATGCTAGTTGATAGGATAATGTTTTGAGCTTTAGTTTGTACACGTCCTTGAAATAAATTTGACATATCTGGATTCCTCTTTAACTTCATAATTTTGAGATATAGGTTGGTTTAAACTGTGGCTGGCATTAATTTGATTGTTGCATGTTCAAATTGTTTTCAATGACCAAAGGTGTATCTTTCATAATAGTACACAAATTAATTAAGAGCTAGCAATAGATTCACTTTCATAGCTGAACATTTTGTGCTGGAGGCTGAATTCTGCCAGTGTCTTTAATGGTAAGAATAGTGATCATATATATTCAGATCTCATGCAGTATGAGAGTTTAACTAGCTTCTGGAGCTCCAGTTTAGAGGTATTTACTGTTTCGATAAAGGTGTTATATATCATTACTCATTAGTGTGCCTTTAAAGGACATATATCTTCATCGTTGAAGAAGAGAACATTAAAACATTATGATAACTTCTCTTGATATTTAAATATAGGCTTGTAAGAATGGGATATACAATAAAATGGATCTCCATATTCTTTAAAAGTCTCCCCATCTCTATTATAAGTCACCATCAATATGCAGCTCACTCATTATCGTATTGTAGTCATATCTATTTAATGTCACTCCATTTTTACTGCACACTCACCTTATGCTAACGCTACCTTTGCATCAGTGATTTTCCCGATGTTGGAATGGTAGCGTTTAATTTGATTTCCTCGTGCCCCACACACGACTCTTAACATTAGATTTTGGGGATTCTTCAAAACTGAAACTTCATGTTTTATAATTGAAACATACAAGGTTTCAAAATTTCTTTTTCGAAAGAAGAGAGATAAAAAGCTAGTCCCATGTGATAACTCTGATAAAGAGGGACCATTGCCAAAAGTATTGTTGTTGCAACTAATATGCAACTTCCCAGCATGGGAGATAAAGAGAAGTATCTTTGCTCACCAAAATATATAAACATATCAAGTACATTTAAATCAACTAAAGACTTAATGCCAAAGTTCACATAGAAGGATTTCGAAAGATAAGACTCCTTTCTGTAGAAACTCTAAAACACAATAGAAACATCAGCTTCTTGCATCTTGAAACAGATGGAGAGCCTTTCGAGATATCTTCATTTCAACTCTAAAATTTCTTAAATTGTCTGATATGAGTTCAAGATTTGATTTATGATCCATATACCCCATTTATGGTATTCTAGGTAGTAAATATGATGTCCGGGTAGTTGATTTGATGTTTGAATTATGATGTAGATATGAATCATAAACTTGTTATAGTACTTTTTAAAATTAAGGATTCTGTACTTTGGCTTGGTTTTGTAGACAGTGCACATTCTAAATTTCTGAAGCATTTTAACTTTTGGGCTATAAAAGTTAATTTCTGTTCATTGTTTAACATTGTGTTGATTTTTGTTTTGAAGATGAACATGGTTCTTTCCGCATATCATCTGAAGAGATGGCAGCGCAGTCTCCCTCTAATTTGCCTCCTGGTGCTGTGGGTTGTAAGGCTGGTAACAGTTTTTGTTCTAGTCTTCTGGAAGATCAGATGTCTCCTGCAGCTACGCAATCTTGTGAAATTTGCTGCAGTGAACCTAGTTTTTGTCGGGAGTGTTGTTGTATACTATGTTGCAAAACCATAGATATAGCCTCTGGTGGCTACAATTTTATCAGATGTGAGGCAACAGTAAGTGATGGTATAATATGTGGTCATGCGGCTCATATTAACTGTGCTCTCAGATCGTATATGGCTGGGACAGTTGGAGGAAGTGTCGGGCTAGACACTGAATACTATTGTCGGCGTTGTGATACACGGACTGATTTGACTAAGCATATCACAGGACTTTTGAAGACATGTGAATCTATTGAATCTCAGGATGAGATTGACAAGATATTAAGTGTTGGTGCCTGTGTTTTGCGAGGATCACAGAAAAAGGGTTCACAAAAACTGCTGAATCGTATCGAATCCATTTTGCAAAAGGCGAGTATTATTTGTCGGGAAACTTCTTATTTTTAATTTGTTTTTTTTTTTGGGGGGGGGGTGGGGGGGATGTTTTCGTTTCTCTTTTGACTTGCAAGTTGCTGCTTTAGCTGACTACACTGTTCTGACAACAGCTAAAAGTTGGGAATGATATGGAAGATGTCTGGAAAGTGGAAGTGGACATTTTACCTATTCCCACAGGTGAATCTATATCTCAAATTCATTATCATTTCAGCTCCTATGACGAGAATGGTGAGTTGTCAGAGCTCAAAGAAGTTGACAGTGAAATACCTTTTCTGTTAAATAGAGATATCTTTCCTTTTCCAATTGCAGGAGCAGGACAACTGGATGGTCTGGATCATTCAAACTCTGCATGCACAGACCTAGGTGAAGATGATCTTTTGTATCAAAATGGGTATCTGAAATTGGAGGAGGAAATTACTCAAGTTCTTCAGGAACTTAAAAGGTCGCAAGACTATGAATTTAGTATTGCTCATGATAGGCTTCATGCTCAAAAAGATCACCTTTTTAGCCTCTATCAACAAGTTTACAAGGATAAGCTAGAACTATTACGACCTTCACCATCAAAGGACCGTGATGCCTTGCTCGGATCTATTGCAGCCAGAGAAGAGCATATTAAACATGAGCTCAGCAAACTCAGAGATATGGAAAAGGTTGCCAATGGATTTGGAAAGACTCCCAAAGAAATTCTAAAAGAACACTTTGATCTGGATCGCAAAGACTGATACCTGCATTCACACCAACTTCAATTGTCATCTCTTCTTTTTCTGTTCTTCAATCCCAGGAAGAAGGTGAGATACCACCAATGAGTTCCTACTCGAAGGACTTTGTTCATATAGCTGTTGAAAAAATTTTGGATGATTAAACAAACGTCACATCTGCCTTTGAAACTACCTTCTTCTTTTATACCCTTCTTTTGTGTTTGTATACACACATCAGTCACATGTACTTTTGTGCTTGTTTCTTGATGCTTTTTCATCATTACTACTCCCTCCGTATTAAAAAGATTAGCCACTTCTGTAGTCAGTTGACGTACATTAATGGCTCATAACGAGTTACTTGTCACAGTGGGTAATCTTTGGGATGGTCTGAGTTTTTTTTTTTTTGGTGGAATGTTTAATTATTTCTTGTCAGTAGGCTGTCTTTGCGGCTTTGCCTAGGACCTGATTATGTTGTAAGATTTTCATTTCAGACTTTTCTTATGAAACTGTAGGGAAATTTGTCGACAACATCAGTTTAACCTTATTTTACTTTGAATATACCTACCTTTTAGTACATTTTTGTACTCGTCATTTCATATCATTATCTTTTATCATTTCTGGTGTTAAAAATTGCTGTATTATTCAGAGCTAAGTACCGCCTTCTTATTTCTTTTTTATTTGTTTAATTATACACCCAGGAGAAGTAACTTTGAACAGATCAAATTGCTTTGCCTTCTTTCTGGTAGGATTTTAATAATAGGGAGTAAGAAGTATGTTAGAAATTTTCTTTTCAGATTGAGATTAGGACTGATGCAATTTTCCAGGTAGCTGTATGCATTCCATCACAGGATTAGTTAATATTGTTTGTGTAAATGTTGTTGATTATGTAGGGAAATAAACAATTGGTAATCAACTTTGTGTCTGGCTAAAGATTATAGACTGATTAGGTTATGCAATGTATTACACAAATTTATTTTTGAAATTGTAGTAAACACATTCTCCTTGACATTGTTGCGAAAACATCAGTGTGTTTGGATGAAGACGACTCAGGAAGGTAGCAAACATGTATTCTCCTTAAATGTAGTGCATAAATTATCTAGAACTATACTATCCTATCCTATTTTCTTAGTAGCCTTGGAACTTTTTAGAACATTAGGATTTTAAGAAACCGCTGTACATTATTTGTAACTAAGATTTTCTTTCCTTTTTAGGTTGTCGTTTCTTTCTATCTATCCCCTCATCAAATGCATTCCTATTTTTCTCTCTCCATCTATTCAAAAACAAAACTTTCACGTTGGGAGGAAAACTCCTAATGCATACTAACCTTGGAAGGTAGTCGAATATTATATAGATTAAGTTCGAGGTTCACTCATTATTTTTATGTACTACGGTTACTAACTAGTAAGTAATTTACTAACCAACTTTAATTTGCTTCTACAGTAAAATCTAAACCTCATTACGGAGTAATTGTGTAATTGTATCTTTCCTTGAGAAAAACTGTTGGAAAAATATGAAGGGGCAAAAAGTAAGAAAAATGTTGTTCTATATTCAACTTCATTTAAGACACATACAATTAAAATGAAGGAATGTAAACTTCGTAGTTCTACCTTCTACTCAGGGGCGGAGCTAGAAGGGGACATGTGGGGACACTTGTCCCCCCATTTTCAAAAAAAAAAAATTTAAAAAAAAAAAAAAAATTTAAAAAAAAAAAATAAAAAAAAAAATGCAATTACAGATTTACATGCTCTGTTGCGTTGCGACATTTGCCAGCCAGCCAAACCCTAAGTTTTTCAATTTTCAATTTCTCTCTCTTCGATTCGCCCCGCCACTGGTCGCCTAGCCGGCTCGCCGTGACGCCGTCCATCGTTCGCCGGCAGTTCGCAGCAGTGACGAGGTTCAACAGCCGCCCTTGAGCCTTCGTCCTTCGTGACTTCGTGTCTTCGTGACTTCGTCTGTTCGTCAATCGCCTAGCCGGCTCGCCGTGACGCCGTCCACCGTTCGCCGGCAGTTCGCAGCAGTGACGAGGTTCAACAGCCGCCCTTCAGCCCTTGAGCCTTCGTCCTTCGTGAATCGTGACTTCGTGTCTTCGTGACAGCGTGACTTCGACACTTCGTCTGTTCGTCATATGCATTTCAATGGAGGTATGAATCAATGAATGTATGATTAATTGAATAATTGATTACTTGTTTTGTTGTTTAAATGTTTAATTGTTTAAATTTACAGTAAATCTGAAATTCTGAATTTCATATTTTTATTACTTGTTTAAATGTTTAATTGTTTATATTTTTATTGTGAATTTGTCATTTGTGGCCTTGTGGGTATTGATTATTGAATAATTTGAATTGATAAATGATTATTGATTTATATTTGTTTGATTGTTTCCCCTGTTAGAGTTTTTGGTTGTTTTTGTGAAATGTGAATTTAAATTTATTAATTATTGTAAATTATTGAAATGTGTAGTTGAATTAGAAATTTAAAATCTTAGCCTCTTAGGTTTTGTTATTATGTAATGATGTGGATTGTGGTCTTGTGGAAATTGATATATAATTTTCGATTTAATTAGGAAATGTCAAACGATTCACCAAATTCAAACAAATCAAAGGCAACTAAACAACCCGATCTTCGACAATTCTTGTTTAAAAGAACGAAACTCAATGAAAATGAGTCCAATGAAAATGAGTCCAATAACTCACCTTCATTTAGCTCCCCTCAAAGTCAAGAAAATAGTATGGAAATGGGTGGTTCAAGTAATAGTAATGTACCATTAGAGGAAGATTTGGTGTATGATGTTGAACTTCTTCCTCATGATCCGGGAAAAAGAATAAACATTATGGATTACCCCGCAAATGAACGAAATGCTGTTAGGAGGGGTTATATTCTTAAAAAACCTTGCCAACCAAAAACTCATGTCTTCCCTACAAGACAAGTGTCTGGTTTGCGTCGCTTTAGTGTTCATTGGTTCAACAAATGGGATTGGCTTGAATATAGTATTGAAAAAGATGCTGCATTTTGTTTTGTATGTTACTTGTTCAAGAATGAAGTTGGTATTAAACCGGGGGGTGATGCATTTGTTGATGGAGGGTTTAGGGCATGGAATAAACCGGAAAGATTTGAGAAGCATGTTGGTGGAATTAAAAGTGCTCATAATCTTGCTTATGAGAAATATGTGAATTTAAGAGATGAAAAAAAGAAATCAATCTTGAATGTGATTGACAATGCAAGTGATGTGATTAAAAGTGAATATTTTATCCGCTTGAAAGCATCTTTATCTTGTTTAAGATTTCTTTTGGGGCAAGGTTTGGCATTTCGTGGACATGATGAAAGTGGGGAGTCATATAATAGGGGTAATTTCCTTGAGCTTTTGAAATGGTTAGGAGAAAAGGTTGAGGAAGTAAGGATACATACTCTTGAAAATGCACCTAAAAATTGTCAAATGACTTCCCCTCCTATTCAAAAGGACATTATTAACTGTTGTGCCAAAGAAACAACTAGGTGCATAATAGAAGAAGTTGGTGATGATTACTTTGCTATATTGGCCGATGAGTCAAGTGATGTGTCCCAAAAAGAACAACTAGCTCTTGTTTTGCGTTTTGTTGATAGAGATAGTGGAAAGGTAATGGAGCGATTTTTAGGCATTGTTCATGTTGCTAATACTACCGCTTTAACTCTTAAAGATGCAATCATGTCTTTACTTGTTGAACATTCATTGAGCCCATCTATGATAAGAGGGCAAGGGTATGATGGAGCTAGCAACATGAAGGGTGAAATAAATGGCCTTAAGACTTTGATTATGAATGATACTCCAAGTGCCTACTATATACATTGTTTTGCTCATCAACTTCAACTAACATTAGTTGCCGTTGCTAAAAAGAATGATAGTTGTGGTTGGCTTTTCGAGATACTTGGAAATTTGTTGAATGTGGTTGGAGTTTCTTGCAAGAGAAGAGAAATGATTCGTCAAGATCAAGCTCAAGAAGTTGCTCGAGCCTTGGATGTTGGGGATATTGTGAGTGGATCGGGTTTAAATCAAGAACTTGGTTTGAGTAGGCCCGGGGATACTCGTTGGAGTTCTCATTACAAGTCACTTTTAAATGCCATCCTCTTATTTCCTACAAGTATTAACCAATTTGTGTGTGAGTTTTTTTTTTTGTTTTTATTTTTTGTAAGCTTTTCGTAAGTTAAGCATTTTGTCCCCCCAAGTTGAAAATCCTGGCTCCGCCACTGCTTCTACTTCATAAAAAAAATTTAGATGACATAGACCTAGATCATTTCATTTGCAAGTGAGAGCGATTAGCTTACACCTCTCTGGGTACACCCGAGTACATAATACAATTCCGTAATCCATAACTAGCACATTATTGAACAATAATAAGATTACCCATGTTACCCTTAAACCCACCTTTACCATCACCATCCCTCCTATCCATCTCACCCCAACCATTCTTGGGCACAATCACAACAAGTCCCCCACGAGCATATACCGCGGTAGCAAGCTCCGGGCGCGCAGACGACGGAAGCCGAAACCGCCACACATCAAGCTCAAGCTCATCAACGATCGGCCGAGACAAATTCTCTCTACTCCTAATCACAACTTTGGTAATTCCAGGATGAACCTCAACAACATGAGCTTTAACGCCACTACTATACCCAACTCCAGCAATACCACCATCATCTTCAACCGTAAACTTAAAACAATCATGTCGTTCTTCAACGACGACATCGGCATCGGAATCAAAGGGTAATTCCAACACTTTGCTGAAAACATGAGGAAGTCTTCGTAATTTCTTGGAATTTGATGAAACACCCATTAATGGAGATTGTTGTTGTAGGGATTGATTTGTGGAGGAGAGAGAAAGTGAAGAGAAGTTGCGTTTTTCAGGCATGGTGAAGATGGGGGTAATAAATTGAGTATTCAAAAGGAATAAAATTAGAGTAAAGTAGTGAAATGGAATCATCAACTGACGGCGGGCATAAACGATGATTTTTAAAGGGAATACGTTGCGATTAAAAAAGGACGGGAAATCAGAATGTTAAATGTTAAGGTTTATGGAGAAAATGGAACAAAAATTGGGGAATATTATGATGTTGTAGGAATCAAAGAGATGGGAAAAGGGAAAAGAGGATTCGGAAAGAGGAGAATAAGGTGATTTGAAAGGGTTAGGGATTTGGGGTGTATTTAAAGGGATTGGGGGACCGACATGTATGTAACGTGTGGCGTAATAAGATTGTGTTGTTCTATTAATTAATTATTTTTGTTTTATTACGCGTCAATTGTCAATTTATTGTATCTTGTATGTGAAGTTATTGTGTAATTTCTAGTTCTCTTTAATAAAACACAAGGAAAAATTCACTAATTGGGGTTTTTATATCCTATGAATTCATAATAATGCTTCTGCTTTATATCATTTGGTAAAATTTGTACATTACAACCATTTAAATTTCGTATTTTACAAATTGCAGTCATTTAAAAAAATTGTAAATTGCAGTTCAAAGTTCGTATAAATTGTAAATTGCAGCCTGATTTAACTTTTTTATCGGTTTACATCTCAAAAAATCTTCGATTAAGGTTTTATCGGCTATTTTGAGCTCAGAATTAGCAAAAAAAAAAATAACACATGTACCTCGTTTTGTGTAACAAAAATGTATATAATTGATAATTACAGGGTCTAATTAAAGTAGTAGCCCAGGATATACACTAGTTTTTTTTTAAATGGCTGCAATTTGCAAAATAAAAACTTTAAATGGCTGTAATTTTGCAAATTTTCCTATTATTTGTAACGATTTAACATAAAGTATTAACAGAAAATATCTAATCGTTGTAAATAATATGAAACTGATAAATTAGTAATATATCAAATATTTGAGTGGTTTTTTTTTTGGAGGTATAAAAAAATGATACAGACAAAATTTAATCTAAGTTGCCCTTAGATTCTATTTACCAGTGAGAATATTTAGCAAATGTAGTCTCTTTAATTTTTTAACGTAATTATAATTATTGATATTAATGGTCAAATTATAATATTGGCAAACCAATAACGTGTTGACTCACTTGGTAAGATTCTTAGGCCCGGTTCTTTTGAGCTTCTGGGCAGAGCAGGGCAGATTAAATATCAACAAAGCAGAGCAGATTTCAGGATAGCCGAGCAGAGCAGAGCAGAGCCGAGCAGAGAAGATTTCAACATTATTATTAATACTATTATTAATGTTATTATTATTAATGTTGTTGTTTTTATTATTATTATTATTATTATTATTATTAAAATTATTATTAATTATTAAAAATTATTATTATTAATTATTAAAATTATTATTAATAATTATTATGATTATTAATATTAATAATAATAATATTTATTATTATTAATATTGATAATAATAATATTTATTATTATTATTATCATCATTAATAATTATTAAAATTAATAATAATAACTATTATTATTAATAATTATTAAAATTATTATTATTAAAATTATTATTATTATTATAATTATTATTTTTATTAATTATTAATTATTATTATTATTATTAATTATTAATTATTAATATTATTTTATTAGTATTATTAATATTAATTATTATTATTATTATTAATTATTAAAATTATTTTTAATATTAATAATTATTATAATTATTCAAAATAATAAATTATTATCATCAATACATATTAATTATTATTATTGAATATTAATTATTATTGTTGTTATTATTAATCATTATTTGAAAATTAAGTAGAGCAGAGCCGAGCAGAGCAGAGCAGAGCAGATTTCTTTTGAGCAAAGCAGAGCAGAGCAGATTTGATTTGAGCAGAGCAGCTCTAAAGAATGGGGCCTTACTCGTCTACTTAGGGGTAGGGATTCCCTTACTCTCCTCTCTACTCCCAAGTACTATTTGGCTTGTAAATACTGAATCAAAAAAACTGTGAGAAATGTAGCATATACCATAACCAATTTACCGTCATGATCTTATAAGATTATACGGAGTAAGAGCATAACATTGTAATGTCGACCTATAAACCAAGCAAGCTGTTGGAGAATTGATTATCTTTTAAAAGAAAATACGTTATAAATTAATTATCATTACTAATAATTAAAATATACTTTGTATATGTGTTAATGCATCGAATAAGAAATCAAGATATTAGCACTTTGTGTGCGGAAACGTAAATAGATTTTTTTTTCCTTCATGGATTGATAAGGAGAAAGGCGGCCCGGCCCTATCGGCCCAAAACCACTCATAGATCCTCCCTGTCCAGATTAGTAGGTTAGACACTATAGAAATGGGAGAAAAAGATAAGGGAATCTCCACCTCCAAAATGCCTCTATTGGAGTTGGACACAACATCTTGGTTGTGAAATTTGGTAACATGTAATTATATACATATATCAAACTTGTGAAGGATATCAATGTTGAAAAAAAGGTGCACAATATTGAAGATTAGAGATTTAAAGAGCTTTGATGAAAATTGAGAAAATAGCCTTCTAATTTATTAGAAGTATCATTTTGGAAATTGACCAACTTAGAATTCCTTATTAAACATTTTGTAATCAGTCTGACACATTATCAACTACACAAGAAAATGTTGTACATTATGTCCCAATTATCACATAGTATGTTTTATTATTATCAAATTGACTAATTGCCAAATAAGATTTCCCATCCACACTATAATATAAGCTTCAACTATGGACACATGCACTTAAGAACATACAAGTTTACTTGAAAGTTAATTTGCTACATATTTTCAAACCTAAAGTTTTAGCACAATCATCAAAAATTCAAAACATTACCTTTATCACTTTTCTCCACTCTCTTTCTCTACTTAAACTCTATAGATTTTAATCGCTTACAATATTTGCAAAACCCGTCATTATCATACAAATTTTGTAACAGTATAATCACCATTAGTTCTCTCCATTTTGAATTTTTCACCTTCAAATAATAATCTCTAATTAATCATGTTGGAGTAAATTAAAATTGGGAATATTGTTTGGCCACTAGTAATCACGAATTTCAAAATTTCAATCACGTAAGCTTTGCAATAAATTTTACTCCTTTTTATATATCAGTGCTCCGTTACATATGTCATTAAAACTTTTATACTACCTCCGTTTCATATTATTTGCAACAATTTGACATAAAGTAAAGAGAAAAAATGTCTAATCGTTGCAAATAATATGTAACGGAGGTAGTATTATCATCATGCACTCGTGTTCATGATCTAATTACGCATTTACAGGTATACGCTCAAAATTTCTACTTGGATCCTTCTCCATGCCCAAAATTCAGGTCCATTGCTTTTACTACATTAAAAAATTAAAATGCTGGGTTCCTAGGAATTTTCCAAAAACAACATTATGCAAATGAAAGGGACGAAAATGTTTGGGTCTTTCTATATAAAGGTTTCCGTCGCTTTTGTGCTGTGGTAAGTTGAAGCAAAGGAGTCTACGTTTGTTAATTATTGCAAACTTATTGCACACAAAGTAACAGAATAACGCATGAGTTTGGGAACCAACGAAAGTGCTATGATGTTTCGCAACTAATACACGCATTGTAAAGACAAAATTAAGTTTCCAAACTTGATTGTCGTTTTTAGGTTCGAAAAGATTTATATTATTTCCAAATTTCACTGTCTTGAGAGAAGACGTACCTAATTTCCCGTTATGTTTTACATTTTTTAGAAAAACAATCTTGCTAACGAGCGCCCCGAGGCGTTAGATAAGGATAAATTATATTGGTTGAAATGGTATTAAGTTAGGAATTCATGACAAAATTTCGCGTCGTTCGGTGTAATTAATGTTAATTTTACTCTAATATTTGCACTTTAATTCTATTATCTAACGCCCTCGAGGCGCTCATTAGCTTTTGCCTTAGAAAAAAATATATTTACACAAAAACTTTTGTATTCATCCGATGTACAATAATATTACTATACATCGAAGTAACTTTTGTTAAATTAAGGGTAACTTTTATCCATAAAGGTTAAATAACTTTTATTTATATCATGATAACTTATATATACTAGGTAACTTTTATTTATTATAGGGTAACTTTTGAACATTTTAAGGTAACTTTAAAGTGAATATACAATATTTTATTATACATCCGATTTTTTATTTTATATATATATATATATATATATATATATATATATGGTGTTCTAAACCTCGTTGTTTCCTAATGTTTTTAACATTTTTTTTTTTGAAGAAAATGTTTTTAACACTTTAAATGTGAACCAAATTTCTACTTTTGTTCAAAAATGTTTGTTTAAAGTAGTAAAAAATAATTGTGACACTAAAAACTTTGGCGGTTATCTTTTAGGATGACCAATTGACCAGAGTAAAACTCACGCCAATGGAGTCTTAGTCTCATAGACAAAAACCCAAGTCATCCTCAAAAATGTCACATGTCCATCCATTTCCAATGATTTTTAACTACTCTTGTACTTCGCATGTTCTAGACTTGTTTTCTGTAACATGAACCTTTGTAGTTTGCTAGTTGTAACCTGTAAGTTACTTATCTTTATAACTGCTCGAGTTGTGGACATCATATATTGGCGCCGAAGGTATTACAGCATAGTGTATGCAGCAGCCCTGCTTTGGTGCTTGCACTGTTGCATACGAAGTATTTATAGCTGTCAACATTGTCTATGATGAACATGAAAAATATTTGAGTAGAAGAATACGAAGTATTTATAACTATCATCAACATTGAAAAAAATTCAAGTAGAAGATAACAAGCACTTCAATATTGATAGTACATTTAAACATCAATGATCAATATTGAACGGTTAAACCCACTACAGTTACAAATGATCAAGTTTAAACATGTACATCAATGATCAAGTTTAAACGTTAACATGATTCCAAGGGATCGAAGAAGAGATTTTCGATCCATTGCAATGCTTGAACGAATGGACAATGAAAGTAAAAATACTAATCTAAGAACCAAGACCAGAAAATGCCTGAAGCTGAGGAGCAAGATTAATTCACACCATAGGACGAAAATACCAGGAAACCTCGAGGCAAAAATTCAACAATGTTCTCTTCAAACTCAAGCAAGATTCATTTTTTTGTGCAATTACTGTAAACTTTATTCATTCTTTTCAAATATAATTAGGTTTCAGTATATAAGCCATTACAATGAATAACTAAAACTACAGATTCGTCTATATCAAGTATCATATTTAACATAGATACAAGAGTAAAAAATGAAATTAAAAAAAATCTCTAAAATCATTAATAATAACCTATTAACAAATAGCTCCAACATCATGGTAATAATCTCACCCAAAATCGATTTTTCTTGAGTAGAGATCCGTAAAATAAGTGTTGTAGGATATAGCTTCTAAAAAAATCAAAAAGAAAAGAAAAACATCCATTAAAGATCATGAAATATACTGGAGAAATATCAGTATGAAAATACACAGTACAAAGCACATATATAACGAACCTGGGAGGATCAACGTGTGCATAATTCATTAGTTCTCCACAAGATTCAGATCTATCGTATATAATTTTCTGCATTAACCATAACAGAATCACAAATAATCATGAAGTAACCTAAACATATACATTTTTTTCTCCAGAAATTAGTGTTATACTGCACATAGGTCAATGAGCGAAGTGCAACATAAAGGAGAAAAGGCAAGAAGTGTTTCAATATCCAATGAATAAGAGCAAAATCCAGAAAAAAATGAAGTTGGTAAACATTAGAAATTCAGTAACATTGCTGGCCACTTCGCCAGCCTAAAATTATGAAGAAAAAAAATCATTTCAAGAGGGGCCTAATGGGGTATTGGGGTATATTTCTTGTTTCTGGATGATAGTCAAACACCAGTTTTGATTCTCGATACCCCAAGTTACAAGTTAATTTCATATACAATTTCAAAGACTGGACATAACACTTGCTAGTCTTGTCATATATGCACTAACCCAAGTTACAAGTTAATTTCATATACAATTTCAAAGACTGGACATAACACTTGCTAGTCTTGTCATACAAAGAAAGGCATTACAGACTCACCCCCCCCCCCCTCCGATTTCTCTTTTTTATTACACCAAAAATATGAAGAATGATATTCTGAAATATACATACCATGACAAAAAAAATGCATGACCAAGCATCAATCAAGGCAGATTTGGAGGAGATGGAACTTCCCTATGGCGAAATAATTTTACCAATGCTCTACGCTCACAATCCTTAAAAAAATTCCAAAAACAAAAACAAGGTTAGAAATCTTCTGCATTTTTAAATCCACATGATTGGTAAGACTAAACAGCACAAGTCAAAAAGAATCTTGCAATAAAAGTTGTTTAACAGGATCAAAATGCATCACCACCAAAAGAAAGATACAACATATTACTACAAAAAAATACTACGGAAATCTGTCATCTATTCATATGATGTTGTGAGAAACAACCAAATGAAGCTGGCAAATACAATCCCATAACTAATAAGTCAATTTAGGGAAAATATAACAAGCTAATACCAAAGAGAAAGAAGAGAGAGAGGAGGAAGGACTGCCGAAAAGTTCATTACTAAGAGATTTGTTGGAGTCAAACCATCACAAGAGTGGATAATTGCTTTGATCAAGTTCATTGATCATGAGGTTTCCTGATTAGGAGAGAAAGGTAACAATACAGTCACTGGCAAGCAAAAGGGAGGCAGTAGCAACATTAGCAAGAATATTTTGGGATGCAGATCATGTCAAGTAAAGAGAAAGTTCATTGTTGATACTATCAAGAGTAAAATTGGCAGTTTGGCATAACCACCAATACAGCGATGAAATACAGGATAACACTGTTAGGCTAACAGCTTCCAGCTGATGATGGAATATATGAGGCCTAACTGAAAGACCAGAGAGGCGGAGAGGTGGATAGACAGAAATTGACAGACTGGCATCAAAGAAGACTTATCATGAACTTCCATACTCCGTTCCATTCAGTTACAGCCTAAGAAAATCAACATAAAATTTTTCATCACAGTAGAGTGACAAAGTATTATGCAAGCATGCTGAAAGAATGCTACCTGATTTAATAATAACAACTGACCTTGAACATATTAAGAAAAAATGGTTTATCAGGATTCGATTGCTTCAATTTCAAAAAGGTATATGCAAAACTAAGTTGATCACGGGAAGTGAAACGATCAACTTCATTAAACCAGAGGCACGAGAAGAGATTTGACATAGGTGTGTGGGCTCTGATAATTAAAGAACCTTCAGGCACATCTGCACAGATGGTAAGGATAGTTGTTAAATTTAATGAATTCAGTAGTGGATTAAGAGAAAAATATATATATACGAAAATAAAAAGGAAAAAAAGGGTTGAAAGAAATTGTTGCAACAGAGACAAAAATAAAAAAAAAATAAAAAAAAATATTAAAAAAAAATGGGATTGATGTATGGATAGGAAAAAGTTACTTGAAATAGGAATATGAAGTCTATTTTGTTACATCCGATAAAAGGAAATGTGAAAATATTAAGGGACAAAGGAAGTAAAGCATTAATGTACTAAATAAAGATATTAGCACCCACAACTTGGAAGAGGAATATGTGGATCAGATGAATTAAACTTGGTTAGCCCATCAGACTGGTAAAACTGAAACTGCTCATCAATGGCAGTGTGATTATACTTGTTAAGACGCTTATTTTGGAGCACCTCCTCCCAAACACATTGGCGATCATAATGTTTTGAGATGGCATACTCTGATTTTGTTCGCCATAGGAAGTACTCCAGGATCAACAAAGGATCAGCATTAAGCCGCATCTTGCTATCAAGCCAAATAGAATACCTACACAGCACCAAAAAAATTTATTACCAGACTCTAATGATGAAATGACATAAACTAGTCAATTTAACAACTGAAATGAGGTAACCTACCTAGAAGATGGGAATAGACGATGTGCTAGGAGCTTTGGCACCTTACCAGTTCTCCGCATGTCTTCATATGGCAAATTTCTAACTACTACTATTCTCCATAAACCTATGAATCCTCTGTCGTCAGGAACATTTCCTTCTGATAACAGTTTCTGTAGTGTTTCCTCATCCAAGAACATAACAAAACAGACATGTGTCTTTGAAAATTCACTGATCTGTAACAAACATATTTCCACATGTTACCTCTACAGCATCAATTTAACAAATCATACTATTTTTAAGAGAGCCTAATAAAAACCCACAGTACATGGAAGATATCCTCTATTACTCCAGTACGCATGCATAGCTAAGAAGCTTAACACATCACCATGGTTGTCACGGTCCAAGTGTTTTGACATCAGATCATGTGGCACACTCTTGCCTATCTGTCAGCAAGGGTGCAAGACTGCAAACTCTATCCAGAAAAGTGTACACATAGCAACACAAGCAGGTGTCGAGAAAATCAAGTTGCAATACTTTACTGAGTTGGAATGCTTTAAAATGAATGGCAGCACAATAATTTATGAGCTAACAACGCACCACAAGTATTAAAATAAGGAAACATGGGGTAAGAACTTGTAATTCTCATTCATTAATCATCACCTCCTAGTGAGCTTTATTTTGGAACTAAAAAAATTTCCATGGATTGAATATAATAATTTCCTCTAAAACATAGAATTCTTACAGAAAAGTCCTAAAAAGCATCTAACATTGAAAGGAGGGTTGGATTCTAACACTTTTGCTACACTTCTACATAATAAGTGTGCCTATAAATCTATAATCTCCTATGAAGTCTGTTTACAATATAAATGCAGGCTAAGCAATCCAGAATTCTAAATTAGCCTACAGGCTATAGCTAATTAACTGCAATTAATGACTAAAAAAAGTATTCAAAACTTGTCCGTCTTAATCCAGCTTCTTCTCCTATAATAGGAACTTTATCACTATGTTGTTCTGAAATTCCAAACCAAATGCTTGACTTCTATAAAAATTCAAGGGATATGACTCACTTCCAGGGTTTCATAAAAGGACAATATGAGATTTATGACTTCCCTTACCCTTTGAAAGTGCTTAACTGCTTGATCCATTTAATATTATTTTCCTTTCCCAACTTTCCCTTATTGAATTTTTCCTCAAAGTGGGCTTTCCTAATTGCCCTCCATTTCTTCCCCCTGCCGTCCCCAAAGGCTTTACATATCCTCATTCTTGGTAACATACGAATGAGGAAATGCATAACCTTAGGGGGAGGTAGGGGGGGAACAGCCTGACTATAAAAGAAAAGAAAAACGGAGTAGCCAATAGTACAAGAAAGAGCCTCACTAGTAACAAAATACAGCCAGGAGGGAAATAACATATGATAGCACAAGAAATTCTGAAATTAATAACTCACCAATTTACTTGTTGGTCGTCTTAGAAAATCAGAACTCCCAAAAATGCAAGATGACACAACAACAACACATGACTTCATAAACTTCTGGTCCTTCTCATCCAAATCAAATCCAGTACTTCCCATACCATTAGGCCCCTTTACAAAACCACAGTGCAGAGATTGATTTATCGCAATAAATGACCTTTCCCGTGCTTCCAGGGTCTGATGACCAGCAAATCTGAGTTTGTACGGGCTCGCCAATAAAGATTCCTCTTCTTTTTCAACATAGTCCACTTCAAAATGTGTGATGTTTAGATAGTCCTTGGGCTCCAGAATGTACTCAACAGACTTTGCCAATTCAATGTCACAAGGATAATCTGGAAGTTTTTGGCAAATTGAGAAAAGGCAAATTGAGAAATAGGCAAAGATAATCTGATCCATTATATATGATGTCCAAAGTTCTTGACAACTCTATGGGACAACCCTCTTTTTTTTACCCATCGTAGAACATAGGCTTACCGTTTATTTGGGATTAATTGACGCAGATATGTCAATCATATATTGAAATTTTGAGTTAAATTGTGAAAAGTTAAGACTAAATTTTCTCCTTAAAGAGTGACTTCTTAAACACCAAATCGTTAGAAAATCTTAGCATATTCATCGCTCATCCTAGAGGGACAACATACTCCACACATTTTTCAAAAACCTTAAGCCGGAGACAGATAGAGTTACATAAAAAAAGAAATAATTAACGTACAGCTCAACCAGGTTAGTCATCCAAAAGGGCATTACTACATCTCCCAAGTCCCAACAAAAAAAGTTGAAAAAAAAGACAACAGCACACATAAATCCTGGCTGACATACATGCTTACCCTGGATGAACCATCCCATCATACAAATTTATATAATGTACAACTTCCATCCAGTTTTAGTGCCATCTCTGTCAATCTATTTCAATTTCTAAGCAAAATTTAAAGGACTAATAGAAAGGGAAGACCAGAAAATCAAACACATGGGCTAACTGCTAACATGAAAACCAATATAATTAATGGTGACAAGGTGGGACACTGGAAAGTATGAGCGAAAGCATTTTCAGCAACATAAATAAACAAGACAATTAATGAGCCCATGAAGATATATTAGTTAAGTACTCCCTTTGCTTAAGCTAGGCTGACATACTAATCAGTCTCAAAATCTAGCTCAATCTATGTTCAGTTGTTCAATTAAACATTTATAAATGAGCCTGTCTTGAACCTTTACACAACAAATCAATAAAGAAACACAAAATAAACTTACGCTTAGGAGATCTTCTTTTAGGAGGTATATTGCTCTCAATGCCTCTTTTTGGCACATTGAAGACAGATGATATGACATCTTCCTTCCTACCTACATATAAAATACCTCATGAAGATTATATAACATTAACTACAAAACCTTCCAGAGGACATACAAAGTGCTTCCTGGGTAAATAAATTAACTATCTATACATAAGAATTTTTTTCCATCCTCTAGCAATTAATCAATAGAGAAAATCACTTACTTGTTGGAGAACTTGTTCTTTGGTTAATATAACCCTCAAGGCCTCTTTTTGGCACACTGAATAAAGACGAAGTGCCATTTTCCTTCTCACCTACAAATTATATACCATCATTATGATCTTTTAACATACCTACAAAACTTTAAAGACGACTTACAAAGTGCTCAAGAATACAACGGAAATCCGAAGATTCCTAACTACCTATGCATAAGAATTTCTTATTCTGCCCATAAGCCATCAAGATTAAAGCAAGGATATAGATTGAGCAAAGGGCAATAAAGAAACAAGTGGCAAGGATATTGGTTGATCACAGAAATACTAATGGGCGTAATGGCTAGCATTTAAAGATTCAAATCATTCAATGCTTCAACACCGTTAGATTAGAGAGATGAATATGCAAAGGGAATCAGAGCATTTAATGACTACACATCATATTATTAACTTTAAGATCACTTGATAAAAGAAATGTTTACTTCCTACCATGGATACCTCCATTTATGATATGTTAGTTAACGAAAAATCAAATAGAAATTGGCATCTCAATAACAGATTGCAAATTACAATGCTCTTATCAGATTCTTTCCCCCTGTCATCTCCTTATATACAACTATTGACATCCTCCAAGAAGAGCATTTCTTTGACTCTTATCTACAAAATATCTGCTGAATACTCACAACCAGAACCTCATTGATCCATAAAATACAAAATTAGAAGTAAATCAAACCGATTCAGGCAAAAAAGTGGACCGCATTCATACTAAGCTTAGAAATACATTAATCAAGCCAACTTCAAAAGAACAAACAACTAGATCAAAAGAAGTGAACTGTCTATCAACTAGATCAAAAGAATTGAACTGTCTTACAAACATAAAAATATAAGATTTAACTGTCTAAAAAACATATACATGTATATACATATCTACTATGTCGTGCCGGAAATAAATAACTTCTTATACTTAGATGACTTCATGCTTAAAAATGACGCATTATATGGACCAGAAACACAAATTCTCACCATGAAAGTGCACTTAAACTACAAAACCTTGCAAAGGACATACAAATTGCTTCTTAGAATACAATTAATGTATTAATCATCTATGCATAAGAATGCTTATTCCATCCTCTAACAACAAATCAAAAGATAAAAACACTTACGTGTTGCAGAACTCGATTGGGTAACATAACCCTCAAGGCCTCTTTTTGGCACACTGAATAAAGACGACATGCCATATTCCTTCTCACCTACAAATCATATACCATCATTAAGATATCTTAATGTTACCTACATAAGTTTTAAGATGATTTACAAAGTGCTCAAGAATACAATGGAAATCCTAACTAACTATGCATTAGAATTTCTTATTCTGCCCATAAACCATCAAGCTTGAAGCAAGGGTATAGATTGAGCAAATTGCAATTAAGAAACAAGCGGCAAGGATATAAATTGATCACACACATACTAATGGCTAGCATTAAAAGACTTCAACACCATTAGGTTAGAAAGATGAATATGCAAAGGAGATCAAAGCATTAAATGACTTTAAATCATTTTTATTACTTTTAAGATCATTAAAAAAAAAATGTTTACCTCCTACCATGGATGCCTCAATTTATGGTACATTGGTCTTTTAAAAATAATATAGAAATTGACATCTCACTAACAGATAGATAATTACAATGCTCTTATCCAATTCATTCCCCGGGTCATCTCCTCATATGGTACTATTGACAAACTCCAAGGAGAGCATTCCTTTGACTTATCTACTATATGCCAGCTGAATACTCACAACCAGAACCTAATTGATCCATATAACACGAAATTGGACGGGGCAAATCAAAACCGGTTCAGACAAAAAGTGGAACTCATCAGGAAAAAAAAAAGGGAAAGAAAGAAAGAATTCATTCAGACCAACAAGAAGGGGAAAGGTGGAACTGCGGAACCAAACCAAAAAAAAAAATGAGTAGGACTTGACAACAAAATATTTCACTCCAGTCCAGCATTCCAGCAATCCAGCGCCCAATAATTTCTTTTTTGTTTTGTCTTCTCCCTCTATTCTTACCTTTTGGTTCACTATAAACCAGATTGGATAATTTATGCCATCTATGATTCCACTATTTTTTACATTCTTATAAATTCCAATGGAAGAAAGACGGATAGACCTTATAGAACTACAGAAGGTAAGAGCTAGGACAATTGGGTGGGTAGGTGGGTAAGGAAGAACATTTATGCCTTAAGTTTTAAAATAAAGAATTCGATGTGTTTGTGTACAGCGAAATAAGAAACTGGAATCCATTTTTCTGAAGAATATGACAGTACTGTTATCTACCTAGTTCATATATGATCTAATTTCCATTCCGAGCCAAAGTTTACAAACACTTAACTCTTTAACCCCCCCCCCCCCACACACACACACACACACTTTCCACTATTCTTCCATACTAAGCTAAGAAATACATAAATCAAGCCAAATTCAGAAGTACAAACAACCAAATCAAAGGAATTAAACTATTAACATGTATATACATATTTACGATGTCATGCCGGATGCTAATAAATTCTTATACTTAAATGACTTTATTTAAAAAAATATACATATGCATGATATAGATCAGGAACACAAATCCTCACCATGAAAGTGCACTTTAACACTGAAAAATGACATGTACATGAAGAACACAGCTCCAATAAACAACAACCAAACCGAGAGCCTTTGTCGACTAATCGAACCGAACTTCCTAGGCCTACGAGCAACTCGAAGAGGGACACCATCACCTTTTTCATTAGACTTGGAACCCACACTAACAATAACATCTCCTCTTTGGTGTATACTTGCCATTTTACCCTATAAGAATGCATTCTCACAGTGCACATTCATCTTGACATAAAACCACCCTCATATCTGCAATATATCATTGCAAATGTGGCTAAAATCAAAAACCAAGAAATCCCCATTACACTAACTGACTAACCTATGATTTATGCTATCAATTCTAGCTCAATGAAATTACCACCTTCATAAATGCAGGAAACAATCACTACCCATAAATAATTTTGAGAATTTAATCTATAATTGAGCGTAATTGGATTAATAATTGAACAAAATCATCAAATAGTACTACCCAATTCCAATTAGAGAAAAGGGAATAATAAAAGATTGAACAAAATCATCAAATAGTACTACCCATTAATCAAATTGCATTAATCTGTAAATTCTGATGGAAGTAGGATATCAATCAAGAAGAAAATATACCTGTAGTGGAAGATCTGGGAAAGTGGGGATAAAAGGAGGATGAAAGCGGGCACTTTTTCAAGTTCGAGGGAACAGAAGAGTCGGTGATGTTGGAACTTGGAAATCGAGTGTAGATACCAAAAAACTTGAACGATTTCCCACTGCTTGGAGAAAACTCAAGTTTGTTTTCGAAATAAAAAAGAGGAAATTCAAGTTTTGTCTCCTACATGGGATAAACTTCACCCAAGGTTTAGTCGGTCACGAGACTGACTGCAACATTTGGCGTTGGATTATTATCGATAAAATACCTATATGTACAAATTGAATTACTCCCTCCGTTACGATTTACTCGCAACAAATACCATTTATGGGTGTTACACATTACTCGCAACAAAAAAAAATTCCTTATATAGTAAGTTTTTGTGGGCAAAAAGACAGATTTACCCTTACCTTTTTTTTAAGAATGTTTAAGTGTGTGTTTAACACATTCCTTAACTTTGTAATCTAATTTACTGATTTCTAATCTACACTAACAATTCCCACCAAAATTAACTCCTCCTCTTCTTAAATCATCAACAACTTTTCTAATTCCAACCACCCAATTCAATGTTCTTCATTCAATTCTCCTCGATGATGCAGCCGAGTCTTTTCTTCTTCTGGAGAATTCTCCGGATTGTGTTCATAAACCCTAGATCTATTTTTCACGCACATTCGCTCTCTCCTCTATCTTCTCTGTTCTCTCTCTTCCCTTTCTACTGTGAAACCCTAGGAAAATTTGCTCTTCAATTTCTGGAAAATGAGTTCCAATAAAAGAGAACTGAAGTCCCTTAAATCTGATGAGAAGGACGATGTGAGCACTCTTTACGCTGCTAGACGTGGAGATGGAGTGATGAGGGTTGTGCGAAGGTGCACTCCGATATTTGCGAGGTACAGGAGTGGAAAAATTGGGGCAAAGCTTGATTATCACTCCAGCAAAGACGAGGATGATGCTGTGGTTGTAGATCCACCCACAAAGGTGGTTGCTGAGGTGATAATTGTTCCAGATCTGCCTGAATCCGGTGCTGTTGCTGTTCCAAAGCCACTCGGGGAGAAGGAGTCCCCAAAAAAAGGTGACCTGGAGAAGGAGGAGAGTCCGGCAAGGGAAGAAGGCGACGCTACCTCTCCTAGGGGACAGAAACGCTCCAGATCTGTCTTCAAGGAAGACTACAGCGACTGGGATCCAGAGTACTTGGCGTATATTAGGGATAAATACCCTAATGACTTCCCCCCAGATCTTTGAACAGCAGCGTAACTATGACTAAACCCTATTTCCTTTAATTTCTGTTTAATTTGGTGATGTTGTTGCCTGTTTGCTATGATTTCCTGATTCTTTGATCTGTTGCTATAATATCTGTTGGTTGTTTGATCTGAGTCCCTGATGTAGGCTGAGTATGTGGGTCTGTGTTTGTGTTTCATTGTTGTTGTTCATTGATTTGCTATTGATTATGATGATTAAGTGGATGGGGATGTTGTACTGTATGGATGATGAGCATGATTTTGGTGGTGTTGCTTCTGAAGAATACTCATGTTGTTCAAAGGTTGTGTGTCTGTGTTTGTGTTTCATTGTTGTTGTTCATTGATTTGCTATTGAATATGATGATTAATAAGTGAATGGGGATGTTGTACTGTATGGATGATGAGCATGGTTTTGGTGGTGTTGCTTCTGGAGAATACTCATGTTTTTCAAAGGTTGTGTGTCTGGCTTGTGGTTTGAGACAGTTGAATTTGAGTCCCATTGTAATAATGTGTGTGTGACTGAACCTATGGTGAATTGGAACCCATTGATGTGTGTGTGGCTTATGCACTGACTCATTTCAGATTGAGTCTCATTAGGTTGATGTTTGAATGAGGCACTAAGTCCCTGATGTTGCTTGTATGCATGAGTAATTGAGTCCCCCTCCTGTGATGTGCCTCATTGTCCTTTGTTCATCCAAATGATGAAGGGACTCACATGATTGTACCCCCTAATAAGGGATGCTCCAACTATTTCATTATGACCTTGTTGTTGAGGTGCCTTGTTAGTTTGGGGTATATGTAGAAATACACACCCATATGATGGATTTTTGTCATACTTTAGAGGTGCCTTTTGAATGGTTTCATTTCATTTCTCAAAAAGTTTTGATCTTTACAAATGTAGTAGCCCTATACACTTGTATGTCATGACTGCCTAACTAAACTACCTAAGTTACTTCACAAAATACACCTAACCATTATTAAAACAAACAAAAAACAAGTTTTACTATTAATGGTTATGTGTGGCAGTCCATGAACTTGCAAAGCATCTTGCTGTCAGTCTTCAATCTTCAAAAAATTGTCTCTTGCATCTTCATCCTCAAAAAGTTGTATGTCTGCATCATTCTTAATCAGCATCTACTTCCATATCTTCTGTCTCTGGTTGAGGCCCTATAGTAGGAACAAAAAGGGTGTTGAGGTAGTTCACAGTGTCAGAAATGAGTTCCCTGCTTACCTTTAGTATGTCTCCCAAAGTCCCTTCCCTTGCCTGTCTTGCCTTTGACATGTGTGGTGGGTTAAAGTTATTACCTCCTTGCTTCTCAAGCACTTTTATCATGCATGATTGGAGAGTAATCCATGTGTATCTGTTGAGGTAGGATCAAAAACCTCAAATGCCTCTGCCACCTTCTCAATAAGTTCATCCAAGTTTTTAGGGAAGGACTGATATTGGATAGATTGTATCACCTTAAATAAACCAAGGTCTAACACATTCAAATCAGGCAATTGGGCAGGCTGGAAAACAAATTGAATGTTGAAACCATTAGCTTTTGTTGCTGCCACAAATTCTTCATCATTAGGCACTTGATGTGGCCTTGCATTGTCCCACTGTATTACAATGTTCTTGCTTAGTTGTTGTGGCCATTCAGCATGAATAGTAGGAATGATTTTGTTTAAAATCATCTCTCTAATAGCATCTCTGTTGACACTTTGAATTGCTTTGGTTTCCATAGTCCCTGCCTCTCTGTTCTTGCTCTTTTTCTTTGCCATTTGTTTCTTGACAAAAGGGAAAAGCCCATACTTACCTGAGTGCAGTAGAGTCCCATCCTGTACATACAGTGGCTTCCCTATCATCCCCATAAACATTGCCTTCAACTTGAACCTTTTTTATTGTTGTGCTCTGTATGGTACCTCTTCATTAGGTGTTAGATAAAAGGTCCTTGTCTCTGGGTTTAGATAGAACCACTTCTCATCAATATGGATGTAATGTTGCAAACCACTAAATGATGGGTCTCCCTCTGTTGGAACAGGTTCTATATGCTGCAGCACCCATTTTAGCCTTGCTATTTTATGATTGTCAGATAATGCTGGGTGATTGGTTGTTGTGACATCCCTTAGTCTTCCCTTTTTCTTTAACCTGTGTATGAGTACATGATTTACATTCAGAGCTGCACCATAACTTCTGTTTATGGTTCTCTTATACAGAGGCACAGACATAAGCCATTCATCTGAGTATTCTTTTGGCCTTTTCCCTGTTGTTCCTAATTTTTTGCTCCTGACATCTACAACATCCCCCTGTTGAATGTGTTTTTTAATTTCTTGGAACCACCTTATTGTTGTTGATCTGTGAACACCATGTTTTCTTGCCAATGCTGAAAGAACTCCTCTAGGAAGTGAGTCCCCTTCCATATTCAGCATGATATCATCAACTATACTCCTCTTTTCATGGATGTTTAACTCTCTGTTATGCCTACCATGGTTTGGTCCCTGTTGTTGGTCATTTGTTTCTGCCTCTGTCTCTGAGTCCTCTGACTCTGCTGATTCTGTTTGTTGCTGATTTGATGACTCACTTGAGTCTGACAGTGAAGTAGTGTTGTTTGCTTCTTCTTGCATGTTTGTTTGATGCAGCTCATCTGTGTTCTTCTCCATAAGCAGTTGATTGATGTTAAAAAATTCATCAAACTCCTCTTCCATGAGTCCCTTTTTTTCAGATGAAGAGGTAGGTGATGAAGTGGAGGTGTCTTGCTTTTTTTTGGGAGCTTTCAATGGAGCCTGATTCTGTACAAAGCTAATGCTGCAACTAACACAGCAATTAGGAATTAGGCCTAATTTCAGTTTAGGTTGGTTTTTGTGTAATTTGCAAACAATGGCACCTTTGATTATGGTCTGTAATTAAACAATGGATGTTGATTTCCCTCCCCCCCCCCCACCCTTAGAATATTGAACAATGGTGATGTATGAAACAGGTTTGGTCTTTTTATAAGGCCTTTTGGTTTGAAAAATGGGTGAAGTGGGAAAAATTTAAATGTTGTTTGAATTGATTTCAAATTTTGGTGAAATGTTTGGAGGGAAAAAAGAAGGAGGCAAAAAAATTGCCTCCCAAAAACTGTCAGCAACGAAAGAAAGGAGGAAAGAGAGAGAAAAAGAAAAAAAAAGTCACATGGGTCACCAACTTCTTTGGGACCACCTCTTTTCCCTCCCATTTTATTTCCCCTAATTACAAACCCCTCCACTCTAATCTCTCCCCTTAAAAGTTTTGCCTAGGAGTCTGCAATTGATCCCTTTGTTGTGAGTAAATCGTAACGGAGGGAGTATAATATTATTCAAAAAATTATCTTATAAATTTATTTTTAATATCATAATATTTTTTTTGGAGCGAAGGAAGTAGTTCAAAGCGTAAAACATCTATTTTTAATATATACTAATCGGTTAAAATTATATACTGAGTCATCTCGGATTGAGTCACTTCAGGTTATGAGTCAAGAAATGTTCAACTATTGCCCAAAGTTTTAAGTTCAGGTCAATCCAACGTGTTTTGAACATTTAGTTTATTTTTTGCTAATTTTATTTTTTTTATTTTTTTAATATATTAAGGCCCTGTTTGATTCACCTTAATTTTGCTAAACTGGAATTATTTTTACTGAACTGAATTTTTTTTTACTGAACTGAACTTAATTTTACTGAACTGAAATTATTTTTACTGAACTTAATTATTTTTACTGAACTTAAATTATTTTAACTGATTTTCTATTATAATTCTTCTTTAAGAAAACTGAATTTTACTGAACTGAACTTATTTTTACTGAACTGATCTTATTTTTACTGAACTGAAATTAATTTTACTGAACTGAATTTATTTTTACTGAACTAAAATTATTTTTACTTAATATTATTTTTTAAGGTGAAGAGAACAGGACCTTAATCGAACATTTTTACCAACGTTATTATTAATCATTACATGTCTACTAGATGACAAATCGTGAAAAAAGCATAGATTATAAATTTATCTTAAAATTCAATAAACAACTCGGGCATCGCACGGGGCACAAAACTAGTAAATTTATAAATTTGTTTAAATTAATCAAGAAAGGTTAATTTTTTTTAACGGAAAATAATAATATCATTAAATAATAGTCATACGACATCTACAGTAATAAAGATCTAAACCACAAATCCAGAGAAAATATCATAACTTTTACAATCAAAACCAAAACTAATTTGCACAACTAGGCCTACCATACCTCCATTTCCTGTGATTTAGTGAGTCAAGTTTAGAGCGGACTAAAAAGTCATATTAGTGATCTGGATTTTGCGTAAACAAAGTTCATGATCAGCGTATGTGTCATCGACCATCTTACCAACCAAATACCCCCTCCCCAGTAAAGTGGTCAAAATTAAGCAAGTTCGCCCGTCGTGCTCCTATAGAATTTGAGCCAAAAATTTGAAAACAATATACATGTATGACTCGTGACCCATTCACATGTCTTCCGTGCCCATACGAGGTTGTGGTGGGTTGTGTCACTTTAGGCTTTTACGACATGCTTAATCAACCCTTTTATCGGCCACCATGCCCTCATGTCAATCATCTACGGAATATGAATCTATAACTTACTTCGTATTCTTCATGACTCTACCTATGGCCTACCGCCTACGTAGTCAAGACCACGATCGACTTTTATCGAATATATTATTAAAAGTCGTAAAATAATATTTATGATTCGTAGATACTCTAAATAGAATTTAACAGTTTAAAAGTGTAATCATGTTTTGAAAAAAAAAACAAACTAGTTTTTGGCTCGGGTGATGTCACAGGTCACTATATGTGTAAATATACATTAAATTAGTTACATTTAATAATTATTCCAAAAAAATGAACATTTAATGATATAGAAATGACCATTTATAATGATGAAAATGAATGCTCTACATAATAGGTAATTCAAAACTGAAAAAACAACTAAGATATGTCATTAACAAGGAAGTGGGGGTGCAAACAACAAATCTGCCTACTTCATGGTAGAATTTGTTATATACACCCGGGTTAGTTTTTGTTCTTCATTTGATAATAAAATGAAGAAAATTTTGACATTTGCTACCAGCGAAAGAACCTTGGTTCACATTCCTACCAGTTTAATTTTATTTTATCTTACTTCCACCCAAATCCCAAAAATTTAGATATCACTACATGTTGCCTTATGTTGTTACTATTTCTGTTAGTGGGTCCTAACCACCGTCCAGCCACCTCAGTGCCACCTTCTAGCCACCACTCCATCTTCAACCACCCTTATTGCCACCGTCCAACCTTCATTTCCCATCAACGTCGGCGCCCAAACGATCCTCCGGTGCCTACGACCCCACCCCTCCCTTTCCCCAATCAACATTGCCCCGAAACCACCCTAAACAGTAAAAATGAAACACTAAAACCCCACCTCGACACCACCCACTCCCCCTTCTCCCCATCAGACATGACCCCTTTCCCCCAACCGGAAACGACCCAATTCCCTTCCCTTAACCTGAATCGACCTTACCCCACCCAAAAACTGGCACCAATACCCTATTATTCCCCGAAACCACATTAAACAGGTTTTAGGGTTTTGTTTTCACCCGTTTAGGGTGGTTTCGGGCAGCGTAGACTTTGGGAAATGGTGGAGCGAGGTGGGCTTTGCCGACTTTAGGTGAGCGTTTCGGCGTCGGCACGGGGAGGGGGAAGGTGGCTGACGAGGAGGGGGAGGTGGTTGAGATTTTTTTAAAAAAAAAATTCAAAATAAATTAAATTATTATTTAATGAAATAATGGGCCTCACTTAACAAAATATTAACAAGTTCTATTAAATAAGTGGTAGTAATAACCATAACTTTGGGATTTGGGTGGTAGTAAGATAAAATAAAAATTAAACTGGTAGCAAATATGAACAAATAAGGTTCTTTCGCTGGTAGCAAATGTCAAAATTTTCTTAAAATGAAAAACAATTATCAAAAGGAAAATTTGCCAAGAGTAACACGAACTTTTAGCGGTCTTTCAAAAATAAAACAACCTTTAAATTATCTCGAAATAACACGACTTGTGACACATATCTTCAAAAAATCGATAACTTGTATTGGAGGTTACATTCGACACATGTCTTGTTGTAATTTGTTAAGATTTTTAATTTTATCGATAACTAAATTTTTTTAAAATAAAACAAAAAGCCAAACATCACCCTCCCCATGAATCCTTCCCTTTACCTCCAACTCCACCACGAACTCTTTGGAAACCACCTTAACCCAACCAGCCACATCGAAACAACCCCTCTCCCCACCCTCAGAACCTAGAGGTGATAAAAAATCGGGTCGGGTCGGGTCTTAACACAATTTATCGTGCCCAAACCCATAAAAAAGTAGCGGGTTTGTCGGGCCAAAACGGGCTTTTCGGGCTTTTTTGGGTCGGGTTCGGGCTTTTTAACTAAAAATGCATTTTTATGCTTGCCCAAACCCGCCCTATTTTCGGGCCGGATCGGACCGTGCAAATGTTGATCACCTCTATCGAAACTGCCTTCCCTCCCACCCCCATACTCGAAACAAACCCATAAATCCCACCCCTTACCTTTGGAATCGCCGCGAAACCACAACCCTCCCTCCTTACCGCCATGAAACCACTGCTCCACCTCGAAATCCAATTGAAACTAGGGCTAGCAATCCATGACCCGACCCGATAACCCGAACGAACCCGACCCGAAGTTAATGAGAGAAACCCGAACCCGACCCGATCCGAACCCGAATAACCCGAATTCGACCCGATTTGACCAAAAAATTTCATATTTCGTAATAATATTAAGTTTTACATTATTTTTTATTGTTTCTAAGCATAACCCGAAATTGTCCCGAAATCTGACCCGAACCCGACCCACTGACCCGAATTGCCACCCCTAATTGAAACTTTAACCTATCGGAAAAGATAAAGATCGCGTGAAGGAGAGGGGAGTGCTAGCATCTAGAATGTGGTAGGGTAGGGGGACGAAATTAGGGACGGGGTAGGAAGTGGGGGTGGAATCGGGGACGGGGACGGGGATTGGTAAGGGGGCTGGGAACGGGGAAGAGAATGGGTACGTGACAAAGAAGCTGGGGAGAAGCCTGACGCCGGCGGGGAGTGGGGGATTGGGCAGTGGAGTATGAGGGGTGGTAGGGTCGGGTGGGGCTGAGTAAGTGGTTTTTTCTTTTTTTTTTTAATTTTTTTTTTAACATTTTAAGTTTTCATTTTTTTTTAAAAAAAGAAAATTGTAAACCAAAAAAAAAAAAAACCAATGACACTTTGACACGTATTACATGTAACCTATTAAACAGGTTATTAACAGGTCATGTTTCATTTACGGAAGTTATATGTCAAAGGTCGTATTATTTTTGGAAACCCAAAGCCTTATTACTTTGGCGGAACTCGATATTACTTAATAAAAAGACATCGCTACCGTTCTTTCAAAAAAAAAAAAAAAGGTGTACGACACCGGAGTATAATGGAAAACTTTTGTATACACCCGATTTTCAGTAATTTACTGAACATCAGGTACACTTTTGTTAGATTTAGCGTCATTTTTGTCAAATTTAGTGTCACTTTTGTCAAATTTATCAATGAAGCATAAATAACTTTTATATATGTCAGGGTAACTTTTGTGCGTTTTAGTGTAACTTTTGCACATTTTATTGTTACTTTATACCGGATGTTCTTACTGAATATCCGTTTAATTTAAAAGTTTGTCCAATTTGTAATCGTATCAAGACTCGGCCCATTTGTTTATTGGACGGATCTGACATTCTGACCCATATAATATTGGGCAGGTTAGGGTTTTCTCTCTCTTTCTCTCAGTTCTCCATTGAAGCGCACTTCGACATCGCACTTGACGTTCTCCATTACACATTACTTGTTCGAGGTAAGTTGTTGGTTTCTTTTAGTAATTATCATATCAATTTCTTAATCTAGGGTTTAATTTAATGTTCAAGTCTAGGGTTCGAAAAACTCAACTAAATACTACGAGTATGATTATAACCAGCGATTGTGTTGCTAGAAATTTGTTAATTGAATCACATATCCCTAAAATTATGAGCTTTATTTGATAATTTAATCAAATTTGATTGCTAATGTATTGCACAATCCTTAAATGTTAGGAATTAGATGATAAAATTTTGAATTCAAGTTGAGCTTTAGGGCAAATTTAGGTAAAGCGTCACAACTCGAAGTTTAAATTCAAGTATAATGAGCAAAGTTTGCTCGATTAGTATTCCTAGTTGTTTTGCTCGAAGTTTGATTGCCTAATAGTTTTTCAGGTTGTAATTTTTAAATTTAGACACTTAAACTTAATTAACCTCATAAAATTCTTTGATTGAATTCTTTGATTTGTTGTTAACTGAGGCCTAAATTGTATTTTGTATGAGAATTCCTTCTATATTTGCATAAATAACAACTGTTTCTATGTGCTAGCTCAATTGACACAAATGGGTTTTGTTGTAAGGTTGATGGTAAAAGTTGTCATCAGCACTAGGCTGTCACTGATATTAGATTGACGAGTCGCGCTATTTGTGAGCAATGAACTTGAATAATGTTCTAAAGTGATAGAATATAACTAATATAAAGCTATACAATTATTATAGATAAGGCTAGAGTCCTTTTAGTTACACGACGAATAAAGATAGTATGTGCAAAAATGTATAGTGTGTTTGTTAAGGTCTATCCTTCATCAAATCAATCTTTGTTACCAGTGGATTATGTCTTCAGTTGCGTTTTCTGTGATCTGCGGAAGGCTTCCTGTATATTGTCATGTCTCCATCATAGGTGTTTGTATACGTAGTAATAGACTGAGTAACATGGTGTAGGTGACATGATGGTTAGGGTAATTGGTATTGTCGTAGCTTGTGAGCCAAGGTGTACTATGTATTTCGTATTGTTTATATCTATGCAGTACTTCCTAATGTATCCTGTTTTACTAATACTTTTTTTTTTTAATTTCATTTTCAGTCTAACAATGGAGGAAGATGTTCCAGTAAGTTCTAAATACTTCTGCATATATTAATTCCTAAGTGCTCTGTGACTAGTAATTAATTGTTCCATGTTATTCTTTCAATTATCTAACATGGTTGTTTCAAAAAAAAAAAAATCTAACATGGTTATTTTTTTCATTCTCTTTCCAAATTGTGCAAGTGGTTTTGGTCGTTTTGGGTTAATTTAGTTTTGAAATAAATTCTAAGCTGATAAGATAATATGATTTCAGGTCTAATATGAAATGAAAAGATAGATGTAGGTCCAATAACTCCATATAATGATAAGCTTAACTGTTCAAGGCTTTTAAGGTCAAATTAGAAACTTTTAGGCCTTATGAGTTGATAAGATTAATATCATTCCAGTAAAGAGAGTGTTACCTAATAGCTCAAGGAATACGTTGTGTGTGTGTGTGTGTGTGTGTGTGTTTGTTTTGAGATGCATCGCTACAGTGGAATTTCGTTGTATAAACTCCTGAAAGCTTCTTGGAATACAAAATTTCCAAAATAATAATAGGGGGATATAAACTGTATGTTAGATGGACTGCAAGAGGAATTCGCGGAGTAGATAAATAAATGTTGGTTCAAGTTGGAAATGAAATGTATATAACTGTAAATTTGTTGACTCAGTATCAATATTGTTGTGACTTAGAAGAAGCTTTGCATGTAGTTTTAGATAATGTGCTCACTCTTCTGTGCTAAGGTGTTATAATAAGGTGCACCTGGAATATATTGGACTTTATTATAATGGCTTCTGCACGGACTATGCTTTAGATGGCCTGTCTAATTCGTCTTCTGTTAAGTGTGTTACCTGATTATGTTACTTCTACACTCAAGCTAATGAATGTATTGTTTGATAACTTTTGCTAGGGAAAGAATGAGGAAGAGGAGTTTAATACTGGTCCACTATCTGTACTTATGATGAGTGTCAAGAATAACACGCAGGTACTAGATAACTACTTTATTCACATTTTCTCTTTTAAGTTGAATTTGTCATTATTATGATTTCCACAATATATTGATATACACTCCCTTTTCTATTTGCTTTCATATTCCAAAATATTACTTAATAAGAGGAGCATGTTTTCACATCCCTACATATCACAGTATGCTCTGTTGGTATTTAAATCTTCTGATTTACCACTTCAGGTCCTTATCAATTGCCGAAACAACAGAAAATTGTTTGGACGTGTGAGAGCTTTTGATCGTCACTGCAATATGGTTCTTGAAAATGTCAGGGAGATGTGGACTGAGGTTTGTCTTAACTATCTACACTCCACTTCCCCCTTTGCCCCATGATTAAAAAACACTTAGTATTAAGTCCTGAGAACAGAACCTGCGAATGTTATCTCCCTACATTATAATATCATATAACTGTTTATGCAGTTTTACCCAGTAATACTACAGGACTGTCAAATTTATTTATTGAAGTTAGGGAGCAAAGTTATTTATCTCATGGCTTTTCACTTGCTGTGACATTAATGTAATTTCTTGTTGGCATGTTGCAGACCCCGAAGACTGGAAAAGGGAAGAAAAAGGCACAGCCAGTGAACAAGGACAGGTTCATTAGCAAGATGTTCCTTCGAGGAGACTCAGTAATCATTGTCTTAAGGAATCCAAAGTAATTTCAGTCACCTGATTCGCGTGAGTGGCTGATTCTGCAGATGGCCCCTTTTATGCCAATGTAATCCGAGAGTAGTATTAGATTAGTGGAAGTGTGGAACTTATGTTGGACAGAAATATGTTCTGAATAGATGTAGCCTTTATTCTCGTGAGATTGGTCGCTGGATAATGCCATAATGGTGTCAACTTTGCCGGGATTACATTGAAGTATGGCCAATTAGTATGTCTGAGTTGCTTTAGTTAGACTCAAGGATAGAAATCTGATTGTCTCCCGAATTATCTTTGCTTTGGTCACATATATGTTATGTCACTTTATCTTGATTTGCAGTATTGGATTCACAGTTAACTGTTAATAATTTGAAATGTAGAAATTGTGTGAAATATCCAAGTAATTTTACTGATTGTTAACCTATTATTATGTTTTAGCCATCGACAAAAATGTTTTAAGTTTTCCATGTCCTAAATTTTTCAGGTAATCTAGGTCAAAATTAAAACAGGGACAGTCAGTTAAAAACAGTAAAGGTGATTTTACTACACAGTACACACCATAGTTCTTTCAGCCCCATTGCCCTTGTCCACGAGCCATATCTTCTCTTCCCATAATAGTGAAGTAGGTAATTTTGCCTCAGACTCCTGAACCTGTGGAGGATGAAGATGATATCCTGATTTTGATCCAAAAAGCTACAAAAAAAAAACTTAAAAACTTTAGATGACCAAGGACAAGGTGGTCATTACATTTTTTTTTTTATCAATTTCTCTCTCTTCCACCTCATTTATGCCCAATTCCAATATCCACTTATGTCCATGCCCTCCCATTGGTTGCCCTCTAATTTTGTGGTTATTAATTTTATCTTTTCTACTTTTACTCTACCCCACCATAACTATATGAATTAAATAATCTAATATATATAAATAAAGTAGATAATCTAATATAGTACTTCCGTTATAGGTTATGTGCAACGATTAGACATTTTACCTCTCTACTTTATGTCAAATTGTTGCACATACTCCCTTCTTTTTTTTAAATGCATCAATTTCCTTTTAAGGGTATGTTTTTTTAAATGCACCACTTCCCTATTTGGTAACTTTATACTATATTTTATCATTTCTCTCTCTTACTTTAAACTGCACTAAATTATTTTATCATTTCTCACTCTTTCATGGTCCCCACTTTATATAATAAAAATATTTACACTCCTCACACTCTTTCTCTTTCATGGTTCCCATCTAACTTTTACTATAGTAAATTATTCACCCACTCACAATATTATATTATCCTCCTAAAACTCCGCGCATCACCAAGTGATGCAAATAAAAAAAAAAGGATGGAGTAACTTGTAACGGAGGTATATAAATAAAGTAGGTATTTTTGGAGAATATTCAGAGCGCCACGTAAGAAATACAATTATTTTGACATACAAGAAAAAAGAATTGTATTTTATTTTTGAATAAAAAAATTATACCACAACCTAGATAAAAGTAACGAATTAGATTTGATAAATCTAAAATTTTAATGTCACGTAGATTAAAATCCACGAACAAAATTATTTTATAAATTAATGGTTAAAAAATTAAAAAATATATATAGAAAAAATAGAAATTTATTAAATCATTACGAATATGACAAGTCCAAACAAAATATATGAAAAGATAAATCTCAAAAAAGATTAATTAATTAATGAAAATCATATTTGAAATAATATTATATTTAAATGATAAACGAGTACAATAAAATTTTATACCTACTATTATAATATAAATTTTGATAGTAATTATAATAAGAAATAAATAAAAATTATTTCTTAATTATAACTAAATTAAAATTTATGTTACCTACCCTTATAAATTGACTCATTATAAGACACCAACAAAATTTTGTATCAATACAAAACCAACTAAAGCGAATTTTGTGTTAGTAATTTTGTGTCCATGACTGGGTATTTTAAAAATTATGCTAATATCTTAGCTTAATTTTTAAAATTTGTGTTTAAAAGTATATTTTTAATTATTGCTTACATTGGGTTTATTTGGGATATATGTTTATGTTTTGTTTACTTATTGCTTACCTTGTGTTTATTTGGGATATATGTTTATGTTTTGCTTAATTTTCTTTTTTTTGTTTTTTTTTTTTGTTTTTTACATACAAATCTAATTTAATCAGAGTTTAATTTAAGCAAAATGATTAGATAATCAAACTACGAGTTATAGTCCATGAATTGAAAGAATAGATCGATGGAACGATCATAATCTCACTTTCCCTTAAAAATAATATGTACGTTGTCTTTGTTTTTCCAAAAGTTTTAGCCTTTGACAATTATTATTTTAAAATATTAACTTGACTGGAATTAATCGTGCAAAATTCAAAATTTAAAAACTCTATCAATCTCAGAATACTCATATGTTATAAGATAATAACATATGAAAGGTTATAATGAGATATATATATTAAAAACAAAATAAAATAGATATTAAAATTATAAAATAAAAACTACGTCAATTAAACCATTTTTTTTTTAAAAAAAAAGAAAGAAAGAAAAACATGTTCTAGATTAAAAAAAATAATAATGAAATATGATATTACAAAAGCTAATAAAAAAAAGTACAATAACTAAAAATAAAAAATAATTCAATTTAGGATTAGATAAAAATATAAAATAAAAATCTTTAAAATAAAATAAATATCCTTTCTTATTTTCTCGCACACAAATATCAACTCATTTTTTATTTATTATGCTAAAAAAATTAGGTATTATATTACAAAGTTTATCATATTCATTGATAAATAGACACCTAAATGTGTCTCACCAAAAACCAAACCCAGTGATGAATATATACCTTTCAGGTCATTGATTATCGAACGAAGTGAAAGTATGAAAAGTCTAGTGATGCGGTTGTTTCTAATAAAATACCTTCTTTCTGTTTTCGAAAATCTACTCTATTTATGAAAATAGCCAGTTCAATTTAGTTTGGTCCATGATGAAGGTTCAATAATAGTATAGTTCACTACAAGAATTAGGTCAAATTCCGACGGACAGGAAATTCCGTTAGATATTTCCAACGAATTTAAAATTTCTGTCGCAAATCCGTCTGAAATTTCCGACGGAATCTAATTCCGTCGGTATATATGCACTTTCCGACGGATTTTTTCGGAGGACATTACTATTTCCGTCGGATTTTTATTCCATCGTAAAATAATTTTTTTAAAAAAACAAAAACCCCTTTAAAAGTGAAACCCTAGCAGCAACTCCTTCCCCTTTTTCTCTTTCCGCCTCCGACCTTCCCCTTTCTCTTTCTCTCTCCTTCCCCTTTCTCTTTCTCTCTCCGCGTCTCAGCTTCCCCCTTCTCTTTCTCTCTCCTTTCCCTTTCTTCCCACCACAGCGACTGCAACAACCGCCACCAACATCAACATCAACCTCAAACAACAACACCATTGCAACAACCACCTCCAACATCAACACCACCACTGCAACAACCACCACCTATTTCAACAGCCATCGTCGTGAGTATCTCGAGGTCTCCGCAACAACACTACCGCGAAAAAAACAGCCACTGTCGCGAGCATCTCAAGGTTTTTTTGTAGATCTAGTTTTAACTTAGGTTAAATTGTAGATTTTGTTTTAATTTTGGTTTTGTAGATCTTGTTTTAATTATGGTTAAATTGTAGATGTTGTTTTTTTTTTAACATAGATTATAGTTAATTATTTATGTAAATGTTAGTTTATGAATTATTAAATTATTGTAATTATCATAGTTAATTTTTGTTTTTTCTTTTTATTGAAATTTCGATCAAATATTTATATCTATTGGTTTGGATTTTTTTGTGGTAATTATCGTTCTTTTGTATATTTTTTTTATATTGTTTGTTATTTTGGTGATGTGGGGTGGAGTATAGTGGTGTTTTGAGGTGGTGTGTGGTGGTAGGATGTGTTGTGGACCTGTGGTGGAGGTGCAGGTGTGGGGCTGGTGGCGGTGGTGCCACCAATTTTTTTTATGCATTTTCCGACAGAAATTCCGTCGTAACTTTCCGACGACATGATTCCGTCGAAAATTTACGACGGAATTTCTCCGGGCCGGAAAACCTCTTTCGACAGACTTAATTTCGTCGGAATTTTAGTTCCGACAAAAATTCCGTCGGAAAAGGTCATATTTCTTACGAATAGTTTTCCGACAACCGCTTTCGACGGAAAACGGGGTGTCTTCGACGGATTCTTTCCGTCGAAAATCGGCTTTTTTCTAGTAGTGGCATTGTGTAACACCCCCAAATCTCCCTCTACGGAATTACCAGTATAATACGTATAATTATACCGTAGAGATAGACTTAGGCGTACTACCGCTGCGTGATTATGCAAGGCTACTCAGACTTACTAATTAAACCAATACTTTGCAGCGAAAACCTTAAAACTCTTCTTTATTTAATAATAGACTAAAATAGTAACAATTGTCATGAGTATTCAAAAATAAATACAAGAACCAACATATCCTAATCTAGGTGAACCATCCCGGGACTCCAAATTATTGACTTCACTTGAAATTAGTCAACGCTGCTTACCATTAAGGTAAATAGGGCGAACCAAAACAAAATAAGAAATACGGATTAGCAAAATATGCTAAGTACGATAAGTGTGAGATAATTGAACTCAATTTATTCATAAACATGCTTTTGAAATCAATTTCGTCCATTCCAATAAGAGCAAAGTCATTGGTTGCCCAACCTAATGGTGGTCATCAAATATTTAATAGATATCTCTCTCATACACTTCATCCATGCCCAATTTCATACCTAGTTATGCCCATATACTCTCATTGGTTGCCCTAGTCATAAATATTTAATGCACATAGAGCATTAAGAAGAAAATAATTAAAAATAACACTATAGACCAATTATTATAAGACAAGTGGAACACCCTCATCTTTTGCCCACCATTTGCTAGAGGTCATGGCCATGACCTGGTCATGAAATTTCTCTCTCCAAAAATACTATTTTTTGTATTTTATAATATTATTTCAATTTCTCTCTCTTCATGCCCATTACAAAAGGGCAACGGATGGCTATGCTCTAATTAAATCAATAATTCCAACTCAAGATTCCAAAACCAATTTCAATAACCAATATTAGTATCCAATAAATCCAATTCCACTTATTTTAAAACCAATTCCAATTATTCAAAACCAATTCCAATTCCTCTCCCAAGTGTGCACACCCCCCAAGCTAGTCTCCTTATGTTACAAGGATACTCTTGAGGAAAGACTCGTTCATACAAAATCCAAAGTCTTATCAAATAAACCAAATCCGCAAGTGGGATTACTAATATGCTTAAAAAGATTTAATAATAATATTTCAATAAATCCTCTTTAAATCCAAT